AAAACAGCCACATAGAAAATTAACATGCAAAAATCACTTGTGTTTCTATACACTAATCATAAACAATCCAAATATAATATTAAGAAATAATTTCATTCACAATAGCTTCAAAAAGAATTATATATTTAGAAATAAAATCAACAAAAGAAGTACAAAACTTATGCTATGGAAACTACAAATTTTTCTGAAAGAAATTGTTTAAGATAGAAATTTATTATTCAAACTCATCTAAGGTTCAATAAAAAAATAAACTTCTGTGGTAGTAGGCGGGCCTTTTCTATTTATTTATTTATTTATTTATTTATTTATCCTTTCTTTTCTTTCTGTGTCCACCTCTGATGATAGCAGTTGTTGACCCTGTCTCACCGTAGGCCATTTGTTTGAGCCTTCCAGGATTCTACTGTTTGTGTGTCTCCTGCAATTGTTAATCTAGTCCCTCTGCCCTCAGCTGTCAGGTTTAGGCACCACTGGGTGGGGCAGTGCCTCCTGAGTGTGGGACTATCATGTCCTTATAGTCTGTTGTCACTCAGGGGAGTGGTCTGCCTGAGCAAGATGGAGATTGTAGAATGGGGAAGGAGTCAGCACCGGATCCCCCCCCCCCCGGCTACTCCCTTAGTTCTCTCCGCAATGTCTATGCCTCCAGTCTCTTCTCAAAAGTCTCTAGGCAGCTCTGTGTCCCCTTTTGCCAGGGGTCTACTATCTCTTCAGGCAGCTCTGCACTCAGCATCAAGGCCCACACACAACTCTTGTCCAGGCTGCACTGCCCTGAGGGAAGGGTTGTTATTTCCTTTCCTGCTGCTGCCTCTTTGAGGCGTGGCCCACCTGCGCAAAATGGAGACTACAGAATGGAGAAGGTGTCAGCTCCGGGCCTCCTCCAGTTCTTTCCCCAACGCCTCCATCTCCAGTCTCTCATCAAGGTTCTCTAGGCAGCTGTGTGACCCCTTTGGCCAGGGATCCTCTATTTCTCCTGGCCGCGCTGCACTCATCACCCCCAGCCCATACCATGCACGCACAAGCTCTGGGCGGAGTGCACAGAGGCAGGATTATTGATTCCCTTATGCCTGAGTGAGATGTAGCTGCAGAGTGGGAGGTGAGTTATCACCGGGGCTCCACTGGCCACCATCTCAGTTCTCTTCACAAAGTTTTCCTCACCACTCTTTCCTCAGGCATCAGCTCACTCTGCTCCCACCTCTACCCAGAGATCAGGGAAGGCAGCTGCCACTGCAAATTTTTGCTTTGGCCCTTTAAACGTCTCTGAGTCTCCAGCCACCTGTCTCTGGCAGAGCGCACCACTAAGCTTTTTGCAGTTGCGTTTTCGTCTGTGTGCTTTTCTGGTTTTAGATGCTGTAGTCTAGGGGTCCCTGCTTGTGATTCAGACCCTGTTCTTCTCAGGGGGATCCAACTGGCCTTTTCAATGTCCCTCTAGTCCTGGTGCCCGTGGGCGCCCAGCCCACCCTCTCAAGCCTTCACTGGACTTCTCACCCGTTAGGATGTGCAAAAGTCGATTCCACTGTCTGTCCAAGGCTCCAAGGCTCTTCTCCCTCTATCATTCCATTGTTTTCCAGGTGATTTCTCTACATTTTAGTCACGATTCCAATTTGGTCTTGGGAGGAGGTCAGCATGACTTTCACTCACTCCTCCACCATCTTCCACCACCCTCACAATTTTTACATTCAACACAATCACTATTAAAATACCAATGACATATTTCACATATATAGAACAAATATTTCAGAAATTCATATGGAAGCTTAAATGACCCCAAATAGCCTCAGCAATTTTGAGAAATAAGAACAAAGTAGGAGGAATTAAAATACCTGATTTCAAACTATATTACAAGGCCACTGTAATCAAAACAGTCTGGTACTGGCATAAGAACAGACACACAGACCAATGGAACTGAACAGAGAGCCCAGAAATAAACCCATGTCTATACAGTCAGTTAATATTTGATAAAGGGGGCAAGAACATAAATTGGAGTAAAAATAGCCACTTCAATAAATGGTGTTAGGAGATCTGGACAAGTACATGCAAAAAAAAAAAATATGAAACTCTACTGCCAACTTACACCATACACCAAAATAAACTCAAGATGGATGAAAGACTTAACTATAAGTCCTGACACCATAAAAGTCCTAGAGGAAAACATAAGCAGGAACATTTCAAATATCCCATGCAGCAATATTTTCGCCAATACTTCCCCTAGAGTAAGAGATATAAAGGAAAAAATAAACAAATGGGACAACACTAACTAAAAAGCTTCTGCACAGCTAAAGAAAACATCAACAAAATGGAAAGGGAATCAACTGTATGGGAAAACATATTTGCCAATGATGCCTCAGACAAAAGTTTGATCTCCAAAATGTATAAAGAACTCCCCCAACTCCATACTAGGAAGACAAACAATCCAATTAAAAAATGTGCAATTGACCTGAACAGACACTTCTCCAAGGAGGACATACAGAGGGGCACATAGACACATGAAAAAATACTCAACATCACTAGCCCTTAGAGAGATGCAAATTAAAACCACAATGAGATATCACCTCACACCTGTCATAATGGCCATCATTAATAAATCAACAAAAAACAAGTGCTGGCGAGGTTATGGAGAAAAGGAAGCCATAGTGCATTGTTGGTGGGAATGCAGACTGGTGCAGCCACTGTGTAAAACAGCATGGAATATTCTCCAAACACTAAAGACGGAACTGCCTTTCAATCCAGCGATCCCATTGCTGGGACTATAACGTAAGAATCCTGAATCACCAATTCAAAAGGAACCTATGCACCCCAATGTTCATAGCAGCATTATTTACAGTAGCCAAGTGCTGGATACAGCCTAAATGCCCATCAGCAAATGAGTGGACCAAAAATCTGTGGTACATTTACTCAATGCAATATTAAGCAGCAGAAAGAAAGAAGGAACTCCTACTCTTTGCGACAACATGGAAGGAACTGGAGAGCATTGTGCTAAGTGAACTAAGCCCGGTGGTTAAAAAAAAAAAACAAACCATATGATCTCACCTGTAAGTGGAACTTAATTAACAAAACAAACAAATGAGTAAAACAGAACTAGCTACTTGAAAATAAAGAACAAGCTGGCAGTGACCAGAGGGGGTGGAGGGCAATAATGGGGGAATGAAGGGGATGGGGCAAGCAAAAGAACATGAATAGTGGGCTTATGGGCATGAACAATGGAGTGGATTGACTGTGGGAGTGGGGGCAATGGTGTAGGTGAGAGCAACGGGGAAAAAGGCGGGACAACTGTAACTGAACAACAATAAATAAAGAAAAAATACATATAAGGTTACAAAAAATTATACTGAATTAGTCATCAAAACATAGAAACAAATTCTTGATAAAGAGATAGAAGTGTTTCTTTAATAAGACACTAAATTACAAGATACAGGTCTAATAGCTCTTAATTTTGAAGTAGCGATGATTGTAAAATAAACTTAAGACATGCAACCACAACAAACAGAATTTATGGTTCCATTATCACCTCTAAAGAACATCAGAGTTGGAATCGAGGGGGGAAGTAATTGAAACAGTTCATTGTTTCCCCTGACACAGCTGCATAATTAAAAAGTGGGTACAAGACCCTTCTTTTCAGTGAGACTGAAGATTTGCAAGATGGATTGTAGCCCAATGCTTTTTAACATGTTTATGTAGAGTTGACTGTGCCAGCCATATCACTACTAAGAAGCAGTGGGGTGGGGCAGGAGGGAACCTAATGATACTTGGTCACTAAGGCAAAGCAAGTTGGGAGGAAATGGGAAACTGACACAAAGGTGAGAAAGCACTAATACATCTAAGGGCATGGCATGCTCTCCCTGTCCCCAACCCATCAGAAAATGTTATATGAACAGACTAGCATGGTAAGTCTGGGGCCAGAAATGGAGAGAGAGTTTCCCCATAACTTCTCCATTGACTGCCCCCCCCGTTAGATATCCTCCCCCAAGATTGATATTCAATCAGTGGTAACAAATCAGAACTGTCATCAGCCACAGTACTAGAATAAAGCCTTAGACATCTCCTGTTGTGACAAACATTAATTGTTTCAGTAGCTAGATTGTGGGGAGGTCCCAGAGGTCCTGGAGCCAAGATTAAAGCAGTGTTTCTTCATCAACTGGCATGGAGGATGTTCATCTCCTCTGAAAACAACTGAGATAGCTGTGCCAATATACATCACCCCCAAGATTACAACCTCCTTAAGGCTTTAAGAATGAAAGGTTGAGTAGGTGGTTAATGCTTGCATACATGGCACATCTCACTGATTTCACAGGTGGGAATTTCTCCTGTTAGCAGAAGATAAAGACCAAAAGACATTTCAGCATGCCACTCCAAGCAGTTTTTTCAAATATACACTCTAGAAAACTGCCCAACTATGAAAGTTGGGCCATCTTTGGGTGAAAATCGTGGTCCACGCCTTTCCATCATTTAGGAAGAAGGAGAGAAAGCAAGGAACCTCAGATAGGGATCAAAGGGTATTGGTCCATATCTGAACACAGAGGCCTGTCTGTCAAGTAGAGGTCTCTCTTCTTGGATTGGGCACCACCACCCAATCCTGCACCCAACCCCCAAGGATGCTCTTTCTGCAGACCCGTCCATCAATTCACACCTAAATCAACTCAATTCCTCTTCACCTGAAGTGAAAGCTGCCAAAAGAGAAGGAAACTGGATAAGCTAGACATTGAGGCACAGCCTTTACTAGACAAGAGAAAAACATCTGCAGTGCTTCTGAGCAATAAGAGGGGAGATGAGCCATTTTAACAACAAATATCAATTTTTTAATTATATTTCTAAACAAATACTACAACAATTTCTTCTCTTTCATAAAAACTTAAATATTTATAACATTGTCATTTTTGGAAAAGACAAGGAGTAAAAATGAAGAAAAGTGATCAAAAGACAAATTCAAGGACAATAAATATAGCCTAGGTACATGTCAGCGTGTCTCTGGTAGCTGCTTTCAGAGTTCCAGGCCCTCAGTTTGAGAATTAGCAGGAGTTCAAAATCTCCTCCAGATTCCACATGTCCAAGGGGGGGATTTTGGTGACTTCCAAGAAGAGCCTGCAAAAGGAAGAGACATCTGGTCAGTGTAAAATAGGCCGAAGTCAGCAGGCTTCATGGAATGAATGGGACATAGGGTCCTTGGTTCCCTATCTTGCTTAAACCCTGGGACAGAAAGTAAGGTAAAAGCTACCTTAATCTTTCTTTTCCCTTAAGTGAGGATAGTCTGGGCCTCCCCATGACTGAACACAAACCCAACCTCAGCTAGGGCTTGGTACTTGCCTGTGAGAATACTTGGAACGCACAGCCTTGAGCCTATCATCGCAAGAACGCAAAGTCAGCAGTATGTTCAGCTTCTTGACCAAGGGGTGAAGATCAGAGGTCTTGTAGCCACTGTAATACTCCAGGGTAGAAGCCTGGAAGAAGCAACATAAACAGTGACTTTTACAAGAGGAAGCAGACACTTCCTCTGTGTCTACTGTTCCAAATCCAAACTTCCTATCTACGATATAGAAAGAGAAGAGAGTCAAACATTTCAAAGACTCATACCTCACAGACACTAACAAATAATTACAGGAGAATAGGTTCCAGTCACAAACTAGTAGTATGGCTATATCTCTATGTACCTGTTGGATATTAGCCTTGGTCATAGATATTCAGGTAAGCTGAAACCCACCACCAAAGAATCCAAGGAACACGACTGACTTTATAATTTACTCACTCTCAGGTCAAAAGTCAATATCCAGGCAAACCTCAGAACACATAAGATCCCAACTCAACAGCCACTTATTCATTTTCTCATTCAATATTAAGGATGCCTATTATGTAGCAAAAGCAAAATAGCAGAGTATTTAAGAGCAAAGGTTCTGGAGGTAAATTGCCTGGGATCAAATCCCAGTTTAACAAATAGCAGGACTTTAAGCTGGTCATTTAACCTCTTGTGCCTCAGTTTCCCAATCTGCCATATGAGGATACTACAGTAATTACATTATAGGATTAAATGAGTTAATATATACAAAGCACATGGAGCACAGCATTGTACATGGTAAGTGCCTAAATGATGCTAGCTAGGATTAATAATATTACCAAGCCCTGTGTAGGATGCTGAGACTATAAAGATGACTAAAGCTTCCCTCACTTGAGGGAGCTTAATGAGGGAGACAAACATGCACAAAGAAAATTACAAAATGAGTGGGAAATCCCACTATGGAAGTGAGCATGGGGCACTAGAGGTACAGGGCAGCAAGACCCACAAATTTTGGCCAGGAGAGTCACAGAAAGCTTCATAGAAGAGGGAACATCTAGAATAAGGGTTGAAAATGGTAGCTCCACAAGTAGAAAAAGGAAGATTTATCCAAAATGCTGTGATTTTCTAGAAGTATCTTAAGTTAGCCCTGTCTGGTGTGGCTCAGTGGCTTGAGTGCCATCCTGTGAACTTAAAGGTCACTGGTACGATTCCCAGTCAGGGCATATGCCTGGGTTGCAGGCCAGGTCCCCAATAGTGGGTACGCGAGAGGCAACCAACTGATGTTTCTCTCCCTCTCTTCCTTGCTTCTTCTCTCCCTTCCCCTCTCTCTAAATATAAATAAATAAAATATTTTTAAAAATAAAAGTATCTTAAATTATTTTCCCAAACTCCCTTTTAAAAAATCTTACCTGGAAGCCCAAATATGTTACCTGGAATTGGGGGTGAGGGCTAAGAAGCCCACCAATTTGAATCTATTTATTTTATAATGGCCTCTGAGACACTTCTGCAAGAATCCCAGGGCTCTATTGAATAGTTTGAAAACCATTGCCACAAGCTGAGCAGGGGAGTAACATGTGGTAACACATTATATTCAATGTGTTAAATAAGATTAATGGCCCCAATGTCACTGCATCAGTTCGGGCTCCAATGCTTCACCTTGACTATTACAAAAACTTACTTACCAATGTTGCCACTTTTACACTATCATCTAGTATACCTTCTATACTGCTATACCAGTTTTTCCAAAACACATGCAGGGGTATGTCACTCCCCTGCCTAAAAACTTCCAGTGCCTTAGTAACAAAATGGGTCTCTAAGCATGACATCAAAGGTCTCTTACAATCTGATCACATCCTGCCATTCTGGCCTCATCTCTCCCCATTACCTATTCATATAGCCTCTGCACTATCCATAGGAAATGTCTTATTCTGCCCCTAATACATCACACTTTTATTATTGCCTTCATGCCTCTTCAGCTATCATTCCCTCTACCTACATGTCTCCTCTCACAGCTTCCTTTCAAGACCCAACACAAAAGTCACCTCCTTTGTGAAGCCTTTCTTACACATAGAAGCAGGATGTATATCATTGTGGATTGTGGAACCAGACTACCAGGATTAAGATTAGGGCTGACATTGAGCTGATACTCTCTGATAAAATCATGCCAAGTATTAAAACACTGAAATATTTCTATACTGATTGGCAAGTAGTTTGTTGCCCTAAGCCACTCAATTATCCTCATCAGTACCTACTAGACTTCCCCAGGATCCATGGATGAAAGCCTGGCTCAGCATGGGGCCTCCAGACCATGGCTCCATAGCTATGGCCACACCCATTCTGATTATACAGTATGATTGTACACCATTCCTAGCTCTGCCTCTCATTAGCAAAACATGGTAATTTATTTCTTATCTATAAAATAGGATAATATTGATCTTGTAGGAATATTGTGAAGATTAAATAAGTTAATACATAGTGCTTAGGTCACTAAGCACTCAACTTATAAACACAACTGTTAACCGAGTTCTTTCTCAACACACAAAGACTTTCTCCCAGTAGTTGTGGTTCCAGGATTTCTAAGTTGAAGGGTCTTACAAGTGGTTGGGAAGAGTATGCTCATTTGCAAGCATACTCTTTCTATTTGGATTGCATGTTACACTTAAGTAAAAATTAATAATTATCTGATGTTGCTTTTCACAATTTTTTGTGAAATTAAGAAAGCATCAAATATGAGTTTTATTGTACTGAGGAAGGAGGCTCTGGGGGCCTTCCTCTTCAGAAAAGGACACTATAGTATACCTATAAGTCTCCTGTTATACACGTAGACATTTGCTTTCACTACTCTGTTCTCTGTGTCAGTGCTTTTCAAACCCTGTTCCTACAAGCTCCCTCAGCGGGCAACCTTGTTGAAGGGACTGCAATGGGCAGAGGTGGATTAGAGTCAGGTAGGCCCACCCCAGCCCTGCTGCAACCAGAATAATTCCATATTAGTCTGTTTTGTCATATCAGACTTTCAGGTAATCTTTCCTTGGAACAAAGGGTACTATGACTAAGAAAAATGGAATAAAATACTTCAAAAAATTGCTGTAGAAACCCTTTAAGCAGCTAGGACCCTATGATATCGAGATGTCAAAGAATTCCTAACTGTGGGTACACAGCAGCTTTGTCACAGAACCTCCCACAGCCCAAATTTACACCTTCCTCCTGAGCTGACCCTGTTCTTCTGAATCCTTATCCTGTGCCCCTAGGCAAGTGTTTACCAAGTGTCCGAGATTCTTCATGTAGAGGGCCAGAAGGAAGGAAGCAGCAGCTAGTTTGGAAGCCCTTTCCTGGATATAGTCATATTCTTGAAGAGTCATCTCACAGATGAAGCGGGATAACAATATTGTATTCATGTTGACACGGAAACACTAAAGGGAGCAAGAAGACTAGTTCAGCAAGCAATTCAGAAAACCAGAACTAAGCAGAAGACCCCCTGTATCCACTCTCTCCAACATCAACTCCAATGGCTCTCTGCATAAACAATGTACCTCTCCTGCCATCATGATTCATACTAAGTCACCCTACCCTTAAAAGTACAGAATCTTAAGGCATGGTGGATTCTGAAATCAGCAGTGGGATTCACCACCTTTAGGGATTTTAACCAAATTACCAAGTGTGCTTGTGGTACCTTCCCATCTACTCTTTCTATAGAAGTCATCCTTTGAAAAGCCAAAGCCCTCCAACTGTAACTTTGCACCTGGTTCTACCCTGAGGTGTTCCATGCTCCAAAAGAACTCCTTTCCCCTCTCTTGTTTTTTTTTTTAATTATAATGTATAACACAGAGAGAAAAAGTACACAACACTCATTTGTAGAATGCAATGAATAATTATAAAGTGACCTCCCCTGTAACCAATATGGAGGTGAAAGAAGAGAACTTTGCCAGCATCTCCCCCAAACTTCTCACATGTCCCTTCCTGATTTTCACTTAATTGAAATAATAAATATAATTGTTTTTAAGATTTTATTTATTTATTTGTTTGATTGTTTGATTGTTTATTTATTTTTAGAGAGAGGAAGGAAGGGAAAAAGAGAGGAATGGAAACATTAATGCATGGTTGCACCTTGCGTGCCCCCTACCGGGACCAGGCCTGCAACCCAGGCATGTGCCCTGCACTGGAAATCAAACCATGACCCTTGGGTTCGCAGGCTGGAGCTCAATCCAGTGAGCCACACTAGTCAGGGAAAATATAATTATTTATATGAAACTGATATTTATATGAAACTGATACATTATTGGAAAACTTTAAGCATGCTTGAAGCATTTGGGTATAGAAATCTACTTTTTCAGCAACAAACATTATAAAATCTACATACTATTTCTAATAGAAATTTAACGTTCTAATTGACATGTGCCATACGTAGAAAATGTGCAACAGATATCAAATATTTACACAAAAAGAATGCAAAACATTTCACTATTTTGTGGGGTTTTTTGGCACATGTTAAAATAATATTTTAACCCTTGCTGGTGTGGCTCAGTGGATTGAGTGCTGGCCTGCAAACCAAAGGGTCTTGGGTTGGATTCCCAGTCAGGGCACATACTTGGATTGCGGGCCATGCCCCAGTAGGGGGCATGCAAGAGGCAATGACACAGTGATGTTTCTCTCCCTTTCTCCCTCCGATCAACTTTCTCTAAAAATAAATAAATAAAAATTTTTAGAGACACCAAGATGGCAGAGGAGTGAAGGAGAGTCACACTGACCTCCTCCCAGGACCAATCTGGAATTACAACTAAATTGCAGAGACATCACCTGGAACAAATAACCGAACAATAGCAAGAGAGGAGCCTTATAACCTCAGACAGAAGAATCAGCATTAGTAAAACTTAACTGCCACTTATCCTGGTCTCTGGCAGAGGTGGGGGCAGAGTGGGATGGAGATGCCTGAGGGGAGACTTGGGAAGGAGGCTTTGGGGAGAGAACTGAGAATGTAGCTAGAGGGGTCCCAGTGCTCACTCATCCCCCATACAGCAGCAGCCATCTTACCCAGGCAGACCACTCCCCTGAGTGGCAACAGCAAGAGGACAGAATAGTCTCACCACCAAGAGGGACTCTGCCTTGGCCCACAGTGCTAAACTCTGACTGTTAAATACCAAGTGGCAGCCACAGATAGTAGATCCCTGGCGAAAGGGGGCACAAAGTGGTCTAGAAACATTTGAGGAAAGACAGGAGAGAGAGGCTTTGGGGAGCAAATGGAAAGAGTAGCTGGCGGGATCCCTGTGCTGATTTGTCACCTAAATATCAGCAACCATCAGGTTCAGGCAGACCATTCCCCTCAGCTGCAGCAGCATGAGAGAACCCAATACCCCCACCCTCAGGAGGGACTCTGCCCGGCCCTGTGGTGTATAAGCCGACCTGTTGAGTGCAGAGAGACTAGACTAATAGCTGAAGTAGACAGCCATAGAAAGTAGATTCCTAAAAGTCTTCAACAGATGGCCTAAGGTCAGACAGAGTCAACACCTGACATCATCAGAAGTAGATCCAGAAAGAAAAAAACTGGTCTCCTACCATAGAAGTTCACACCACAACGTCAAGAAATCAAGACAGATCAATTTAAGAAGCAGAAGCAAAAAAGAAGTCTCACAAATAATGGGAAGACAAAGAAACACCCCCCACTCATAGGGAAAGGAGGAATTGCCAGAAAGAGAACAAAAAGAAATAGAAGCAAGTAAACTATCAGATATTGAATTCAAAACATTGGTTCTAAGGAAGCTCAATGAGCTCTGTGAGCTCAGAGAGAATTACAAAAAACTGCAGGGAAACTACAAGGAACTTACTGCAAACTGTATCAGCATGAAAAAGGATGCAGAAACTAACAATAAGACACAAGAGGAAATGAATAATACCATTTCTGAATTGAAGAACACAGGAGAAGGAATCAAAAGCAAGCTAGATGAAACCAAGGATCGAACCAGCGAGCTGGAGGATAAGGTAGAAAAAAGCTCCCAGAAAGAGCAAGAAAATGAAAATAGACTCAAAAAGAATGAAGAGGTGTTAGGAAAAATGTAGGACAACCTGAAACATAATAATATCCGTATAATAGGGATACCAGAAGGAAAAGAAGAGGAGCTACTGATAGAGAACCTGTTTGAAAAAGCAATGATGGACAACTTCCCTAATTGGAGGAAAGAAAAAGTCACATAAGTCCAGGAAGCACAGAGGGTCCTATTCAAGAGGCACCCAATGAGGCCTCATCCAAGACACATCTTCATTAAAATGGCAAATATCAAAGACAGAGAATCTTAAAGGCATCAAGGGAGCAAAAGGAAGTAACATACAAGGGAGCTCCAATATGGCTAGTAGCTGACATCTCAACAGAAACACTACAAGCCAGAAGGGAATGGCAGAAATATTTGAAGTCATGAAAAGCAAAGGCCTGCAACCAAGACTGCTCTACCCAGCAAGGCTCTTAATTAAAATGGAAGGCGAAATAAGGAGTTTCCCAGACAAAAGAAGGCTAAAAGAATACACCTTCCGCAAAACACCATTGTAAAATATACTAAAAGGACTGCTTTAAGAAGATGAAGAAAAAGAGTCTATGAATACCCAGTTCCTTTCAATGTCACCAATACTTGATATTACCAATATTTTTAATACCTATTAACCTGATTGTGAAAATTACATGCTATTTTGTTACTTTATTATTTGTTGAAATGAAACCTGCTTTTGTATATTTCTTGCCTATTTCTATTATTTTTAAAAAGCTTTAAATGACTCTTTGGTATTCTTTATCCATATTTTGATTAAATGTTTGTAGAATATTTTTCCCTAAAAAAAAACTATTAACCCATTTTTAGATGTGTTGCAAATACTTTCCTATTCTATTACTTATCCTTTAACTTTTTTATATGTATATTACTGTATAGACTTAAGTGTTTAATATAGTCATATTGTCAATGTTTTACTTTATAGCTTCTGGGTTTCAATATTTTACTTCAGGGTAAGAAAAATATTATTTTAAATTTTCTCCTAAAACTCCTTAGATTTTACATATTGATTTTTAACTCACCTGATTATTGTTTGTATAATGTGTGAAATAGTGCTCTATATTTGTTTTATTTCAATAGTGGTCCATGCACCTTTTTTTCTTGAATAAGCCTTATTTTACCCATTGATTTGAAATATAACCTTAATCATATATTACATTGTTAGACAGATATATACGATTGTTTCTAGAATGCTCATTATATTTCATTGATCTACTTGATTATTTCTGTACTGGTGTCATGTTGTTTTAATTGCTGAGACTTTATAATGTTTTTAAATTTTTAAATAATTTATAATGGATTCTGACATTTAACAAATAAATAAATAAAATCAATCTGCACTTTTAAAAAAAGAGAGAAGTGACTCCTACCTTTTGCAACAACATGGACTGAACTGGAGAATATTATGCTAAGTGAAATAAGCCAGTTGGTGAAAGACAAATACCATATGATCTCACCTATCAGTGGACTCTATTCAACAAAATAAACTAACGAAAAAAATAAACCACAGGCATGGAAAAATGGAGCAGACTGAAGGTGACCAGAGAGGATGGGGAAAGAGGACAATGGTGGAAAGAAGGGGAAGAGACTACACAAGGAACATGTATGAATGACCGATGGACATGGACAACAGAGTGGAAATTGAGTGTGGGAGTGGGGCAGGGTGTGTGGGATGGGTGGAGGAGGGCAAAGGGGGAAAAATTGAGACAACAGTAATAGAATAAACATGATTTTAAAAGAATAAAAGAAATAAAAATCTTTAAAAAATTGTATTTCAGGTATATTGAATTAAATAAAATATAATATTACAAATTTTCGACCTGGGAAACACTGGAACAATAGTGGGAGAAGGGCCTTGGAGCTGCGGACAGTGGATTGGACTCTCACACATTCCAATGGGTGAGAAGTGCGGTGGAGGCTCAAGAGGGTGGGCTGGGTGCCGACGGGCACTAGCACCAGAGGGACATTGAAATAGCCAGTTAGCTTCTCCCGAGAGGAACGGGGTCTGAATCATAAATAGGGACCCCTAAACTATAGCAGCTAAAACCAAGAAAATACAGACAAAATGCAATCCCGAAAAGCTTAGGGGCGCTCTGCCAGAAACAGGTGGCTGGGGATGCAAAGAGACATTTAAAGGGCCAACGCAAAAATTGCAGTGGCAGCCGCCCCCCTTGATCTCTGGGTAGAGGCAGCAACAGGGTGGACTGGTGCCTGGGGAAAGATTGGTGAGGAAAACGTTGTGAAGAGAACTGACATGGTGGTCGGCGGAGCCCCAGTGATAACGCACCTCCCACTCTGCAGCTACCATCTCCCTCAGACATAAGGGAATCAATTAACCTGCTTTTTGTGCACTCTGCACACAGCTTGTACGTGTGTGAGCT